CACACACACACACACACACACACACACACACACACACACACACACACACACACACACACACACACACACACTCTCTCTCTCTCTCTCTCTCTCTCTCTCTCTTTTCTTTCGCATTCTCACTGTCGAATACTTCTCACTTTTCGAACAACAAAACGAAACGTGTCGATGTAATTGTTATAAAATGAAAAAATACATGTATATAGGGTCCGGTTGAACAACAGATAAAAGTGGGTATTACGCGATTCCATATGTGAAGATAAGAAAGAAATAAAAACTAACGCTTTGATTCGAGGCTTCGTTTTCGAGAAATCTGAATTTGAAAATATATTTTCAAGGCTACCTTAGGTTTCGGGGAAAGCGTAAGAATAATTTGATTGAATATCGACTACAGTATGACTGGAACTGTCGTCCTTGGTGTCGTATATTTAACCGAGCCCGTCTAATTATCCATGTCTGAACACTTGGCAACATATTTTGGTTTTTCAATTGTTCGAACGCTTGATTAATTGCTCGTACGATACGCTATTTCTTTTTCACCAAGTCCCCACAAATAGAAATCTAAGGATGTAAAATGTGGGGATCTTGAAGGCCAGACGATTGTCCCTTCGCGTTATATCCAACAATGATACGTGTTGTCCAGAAACCTTCTTACCTCTCGGACAGAATGCGAAGATGCTTTTAAAATTTTAACGTTCCATCGAAACGCACGTTGTATTTCGATCTTAAAATTACAAAATGTGTTTTTCAGGGGCAACATTTTTTCTTCGTCTAATCGCAATTTCGATTCATTTCATTCGGATTATTTCAGTTAGATAATGGTATAAACGTCGAGAAATAGAGTTTACATTTGGAACACGTGTAATGCTACGCGACAAAACGATCAAATTCCTTTGAAAGTATCATATTTTTGGAAATACAAAAAACGAACGTTAAAATGAATAGAGTTATCGATTTCGTTTGAAACGTTCTACGTTTTTCTAGATAAAAAAGTAAATTTCTAATGAACGAAAGCTCTGTCGATCGATCGATCGTCTAACGATAATATTTTATAAACCGTGTGATAAATAGCGTCACGCATAAGAAATAGATATCTGTTATCATTCGCGATTTATTTCTATCGTTTTAACCCTTTGTACTCGACGATTTTTTGGCTAGAGAAGAGTAGAAAATTAAAGATCCTCTACTAAAAAACTGACCATACTTTTTTGAGCAGTAAATAATAGAATTGTAGAATTATTTGACTTGGATACTTCGCATACTGTTACATTAAATTTGATATATTAATTAATATCGATCTTTTTATGAAATTTTATGAAATTTTATGAAATGGTGACTGAAGGTTAATAAATATTGTCATTCGTGACTTTTCTTTTTCTTTTAATTTACTCTATAGTCGATCACGAGTTAGGTCAAAACAAAAAGTTATTATGCGTCGCTTATCTTATCTTTTTTTACATTTTAACTGGAAAGTTGGTCGGTGAATTTTTTTAACGGAAATATCAAATCCCTATTTGAACTTGTTAATCGACGATGATTATTACACGGCTTTCGATCGTAATATTATAAAGACATAAGATTGGAAGCTTTATAGGATAGCCTTATGTATACTACATAATTATAAAATACGTATAAGATTCGTTAGAATTAGCGTGGTATTCGATTGCAAAATCGATATAGAAACGATATAGAAACGATATAGAAACGATATAGAAACGATATAAAAACGATATAGACGTTACGAGCTTTGAGAAATACGATTTAAATTGTCCTTTATTTTTATTACATCTTGTATTTCTTTTCAGATCGTGAATCGTTTATGGATTCATTTTGACACATGAATTTTCTAATGCATCTTTCGACCTCCAAGTATTTTTAATTGGACGTGTATGTTACTAATACACGTTCCCGTTATCTGGTATACATGTATGAAAACTTGATCCGTGCGGATTAAATGACATATTTATGAAGCTGTTAAAACGTTATAATTTCCGTGAAGGAAGTATTTACGTGGATCGCATTATGTACGTAGCGAATGCTTATCCGTGAGGTACGGCGCAGAATTCCGCTTTACTATTCTGTACATCGTGACCGGGCCACGGCATACGCGTAGTACGCATTATTGTCATTCGAGTAACTATAAAAAAAATATTCCATCTTTCTATATCGATCTTTTTTCCCTTTTTCCTTCCTCCTTTATACCATCACAGATTTAAAACTTAGAAATCGATTTAAAAAAAGAGTTTTCCGAGCATAAGCCTTTGTTTCACTTTCGATACGCGGTGGTTTTTCTTTTTCTTTCCACCTTTTGTCGTTATACGACGCGATAAATTCGTGCTGGATGGATTTCGTAAGCGGGTTCTTAATAATCGAAAGATCTTTCTATCGCATCGAATAGCGTGGTCGAACAGCGACGCGATAAGCGTTTCGAGTACGTTCGGTAATTCTCGGTAAAATTCAGACAAGTTCGGTAACAAGTTGCGAGCAATTTCCAATTCTACCGAGTAGGTTGGCTTTTTTCTACCAATCGATCTACCGATCGAGTATTTCCCAGCTCTTTACCTCTCAAGTCTCTTTAAGAAGAAAAGATACCAGGAGATAAAGAAATTTTATTTTTCCGAATTTTTCCGAATTTTTCCGAATTTTTCCGAATTTTTCTGCCATCTTTGTAAAGTCGTTTGTTTGTTTGTTTGTTTGTTTGTTTGTTTGTTCGTTCGTCGTACCCCGACGTATCGTTGGGATTTTCCCGGTTAAAATCAATCAAAACGCGACACAATCGGACTAATTTCAATTCTATCGGTTAATTCGATATGGTGAGAAAAATGATACGTAATAACGATGAAATTTTCAGAAAGTTAAAAGGAAAAGTAACGGAAACCGGTTAAAGTTACCGCGAGTTTACTTTTTTCGATAGCGACATTCTCTCTCCTTGTCAATTGCGTCAGGTTTCGTCGCTAAACTCCCTGAGAGCAGCCTGACCGATAGAAGGAAGAGTGCGAGGATCGTTGTAAATTTAGCATCACCGTGAATATTCCATCAACTAATAATTCGAAACTTTAAAGAATCTTAT